CAGCATAGGAGGGTTAAGGGTTAGCGAGTAGTACATGGTAAACTTGAGAATACATGTAGGTTGATAATAAATATGGAATTTAGTCCTATCTGGGGATAGGATCTGTGTTGATATCAATCCTATCAATTACCTCGTCATCAACTTTGGGTCGTTCAAAGTAGCTCCTGGGTCGTCTATCATCCTCTCTTTCTCTGTCTCGATCACGTCCCCTCTCCCTGTCTCTGTGTCGGTCTCTATCACGGTCTCTGTCACGGTCTCGGTCCCTATCACGGTCTCTATCACGATCCCTACCACGGTCTCTGTCCCTGGTGTCTCTGTCTTTAGCGGTAGGGGGTGCCTTGGTGAAGCTGGGTGCATATTCACCAATATCGGCAAAGATGCTAGGGAGAGGCAAGAAGACTTAATATTAATAACCTTAATAACTGGGAGGGAACTAAATATGTTCATGCATGGTCTTGAAAAAGGTGAAGATTTTATACGTTAGAAATTCTATGTTGAAATGTGTCTGCAATGGTTGCATAAGATCTGCATTCCTAGCATACATCCTTATACAGCCATGCAAAACCTACAATTTCTACAGAGACTTTCACTCTAAGCTTCCTTGTACGTTTGTGGTATTACCTGTCATCTGCTCCAGGAAGCTTGTCCTTGTCAAGTTTGTCATCTTTTCCTTTTCCTGTGTGATAACAAAATTTTGACAAGGTGTGAGGCCCCAAAAATATGCCAGACGGTCCACAGATGGACAAAATAAAACAGGTATAACCTCATTTTCCATATCTGACACTTTCACAGTAAACAAAGCCACATGTACATTAATGTGACAACGGTGAAAGCAGTGAGGTAGAAGCCAATCGGCACTGGTTGCTGTAATCTATTTTAAAGTCTAAGATGCAATAATGAGCCAAGACTAAACTACACATACCTAGGGCACACTTGAGCTACAACTACACTTAGCTATAGAGGGTTTGCATGGCTGCTATCTTGCAGGCCAGTGCTTTTGTTCTGCAGTGCATGCATAAAGGAGGACTCCCTGTGGAACAAAAGAGCTGCCCTGCAAGATGGCTACCATGCAAAGCCTCCACAGTCAACCACCGCTGCCCGAACGATGGATGGGTTTTCACCGTCTAGTTGACCATTTCGGACATGACCCTAGAGCATGGTTGCACCACAGGTTATCAATGACCAATTTCATGTAGGCTTATCAGTACAGAGGGAATTGTTCACAAGAAAATAATTGTATAAGGTTTCACTGAGAACACTGACCATGAAAGCGTGAGAGTTGTAGCCCACGGCAAAATGTGAGCCTTGAGGAAACTTACGAAAATAATTTGACTAAGGACATTTGAGCGTTGCTATATTTTATATACACACTGTTAACCCTTTCGCTATGGATGACGGCTACTACAGCACCTTTGTGTGAGCATTAGTGCATACCATGCATACAGTCTATTCACCATGCAGCTGCTGGTTCAATGGGGCCTGCTGCTGGACAAAGCCCTCCATTCAGGGCATGCCACAGCCCAGCAGTCGCGGTCAAAATAATCCCATCGTGAAGGGGTCAACAAGCAATTTTCTTCAAGTCAAGCGACAGTTTGCACTTCCATTTGTCTGTGCATGAAGTTGTTATACGGTGAACAATGCTGGACTGGTATTTATAAACTTGTAATCTTTTCATAGGACTGTGTGGACTTTGCACACCTGAATGTACACCTGTTACTGTGGGGTCCAAAAATACATTGCAGGGACACAATGATGTCCCTGGAAGTCCAAGCCAGGGCACATCAGCCAGCAAAATGCACAACATAGTCCTATAATCAACCACACTGCATCACCACACGGTAGGCCTCTTCAGTATAAAACCTGACTTACTACAGTACCTCAAGTGACGCTGAAGGGGTTCCGTGATGAATAATGAAGCAGAAATTTTGTCATATTATTCAAACATTCTCTCTTTTTGGAGAAAGTATATCCATTCATTTTAGAACATCATTTTCTCCAAAGAGAGCCTGCAGTCAACGTCAAAGTTTGACTGTCTAATTTATGACTGACACAACGGCTTGGTTTTATCCAAATCTGGTGTTTCCTATATAGTTTTGCTTGTATTTACTTACACATTTCTTGTTGTCTTACCTTTGTCTTTCTTCTTGAGTTTCTTGCCTCTCTGACCTTGTCTCAGATAGGAGATGATCTGAGTCAGCTTGTTTATCACGATGTCATTGGTGGTTAGGGTCGTTTGAGACTGAAAACAAACCAAATTCAATGGTTCACTGTAATATTTTCTTTCCATGTAATCTGACAATCATTTCTCCCATCACTTTCATTGCCTACTTCAGATACTCAATTTGATCAAGTTTTGGACTCAACACTGCACAGTTGGAACTTCCAATCAAACTAAGCAAGAGGGTCAAAGGTCACCTTACCTCCATTGTCGGGCAGTCTGCTTTGCTCCTGATGACTGTCGTGGGTATATCAGTCTCCGAATACTCGTCGTCAAGCTCTACTTTGTAAGCCATACGACCTGGTAGGAACAGCTCATTACGCTCAGGTAGCTTGGTCTTGAACAAACTACGATAGATGTTCCTTGCTGTCAAGAGAGACAAGATCTATCCAGTGAGGCAAAGAAACAATCTGGACTTAAGTGCTGTGAGTGAAAGCATGTTTTTTGCAGTCACAACGTAGGTCCAGATGAGAGCGTATCATGATGCTATGTGCAGCTTCAGTGTTACACATTATGCACACAAGGCAGAGCATGTAACACCCTCTTGTTATGCGAGTTCTAAAAAGCAACACCTGCAGTGGTACTTCTTATGCATTGAGACGAGTTCAGAAAAGTAAATCACTTACCAATTTTGGTCTTGAACTGAATGCTTTCCTCGGGCTCACTGAAAAATACAAAATTAATTCCCAAGTTAATAAACGAAAAAAGATTTCCACGTGTAAAAACAGTAATGGCACCAAATCCCACATTACTCACACACATACAGAAATCGGAGTTTGCAGCTAGCTTAAAACAAAATTATCAGTACCCTCTAAACCAGGAAATAAAGTGTGGCAAAAAGCAGCTTGGGTTTTCCCACGTTTGGCAGAGAACGTACAGCTCTGATACAAACTCAGTTTAGGAGGGACAATGTTCTTCCCAGGGGTCAGACGATGGGGATTTGACAGGGGGGAGGGGAGCTTACATGATTTTCTGGCTCTTGCTGGAGGTCTGGAGGCTGGTTTCCATTATTTCATCCCTCTCTTTTTCCTTGCTTTGAATCTCGGCTCGTACCTGAAACGATCGCAATTTCAGTATCAAAAATAACCTCCTGATCCACTGAGCGCCTTCAGAAAGCACACCCAAAATAAGGTATGGTATCACCATTACAGTGGTCTATTGACATGACACAGAGCAGCCAAAAGAACTGGGATGTAGCCAATGGAGAATTATCCCCCCCCCGGAACATTTGCCCCTCTAGAAAAGTGGGATTTTAGAATGGGGAGGGGAGCTATAGTGTGTTGATACGCATTACTCCAGTGTGGACACAGACCTGATTAAAGTCCTGGGTCAAATTGAAATTCCCTCTCTTAAAAACAGCCATGCTTCCATTCCCCCCCCCCAGCTATGCCACCGTGACACTGCAGATTACTGGGAGGGTTCTCTCCCTGCCAGTCAACTGTGCTGTCCCTGCTGCCACCATGCAGGCTTTGTTGTTGGTCCCTTCTTCACCGTGTGGGCTTTCCTCTTAATGAACTTTCTGATGTTTTTTCCTTCTCTAATGAGGCACTGCTTTAAGTCCCGTTTGACACGTGTGACGTGTGTTTTCAATATTCTGGTTTATGTGTACATGCATGTAATGTAGCTAAAAAGGTAAAAACTTACAGCGAAAGTGACAAAACACGAATCAGACACACACTGACAAATCAACGTTGTGTACTTTCATTTACCATTTTCAAGAAATGAGAATTAACTGATAGAAAACAACGTAAACTGAACAGGTTTAACCTGTACAGGCACATCAATCTGTCCACTCTCAATAAGTCGCCTGCAGTTATTGGTAAACCCTTCTACTTACCACACTATTTAGTTACAAGATAAACTTACTTTATGCAGCAATGCATAGTCCAGTCCTTTCACCAAGTGAGTGTGTTCCATGTCACCACCCAGATATTTACTCTCCTCGATCAACTGTTTACGGCGATTGGAAGCTGTGTCACCCCTGAAGCAAGGGCAAAATTCAAAATTGCGTTGAGCTTACTATCCATGGTGTTCTTTAAAAAACGTACACCAGCCGAAAAATTCTACCAAAGTTCTACATTTTGGTTTTACAACTTTTCATTTTAATTTGGAAGGTGAGCAAACTGCCTTTGTATTAATGACCCCCAGATCTCATCTCCACAAGCTGAATTAGACATGAAATCCTCACATGACGCTAGAGATTATCAGTACTTACGCCTGAGCATCGGGTGCCACTGCACGGTAGTTGGCCGTTGTACTGACCACCTCAGTATCTTCATAGTCATTCTTACCTTCACGTCGTTCTTGAGCCTATCAAGGGGAAGGATAAAAAAATTAAGCTTTCAAATATTTTGTTACTTCCAAAAAAAAAATAGACTTAATTTCAAAAACGACTCAGTGACTGATCTTTGAAATTGAAGAGATATAACCTTCAGAAGATGAAAGGGGTACACTGCCATCCTCCTTTGCCAAAGACAAAGAGTCTGTTTCTCTTGCCAGTTAGGGTCTACTGAATTCAGCAAGCCTCATAACTTTGACACTGATTGGTTCTTCAGGATCAAGCATGGTGCCTAGAGACCACAACCTCATGTACATCTAACTGCGCGTATACTGTTCGTGCTTTCTTTCAGCTCAAGAAGACCTGTTGATTCTCACCCTGTTTCTGTATTTCTTAGCCAGCTCAGCTTCCCTCTCCATTTCTTGCTTCTTGAGTTTGGCATAGAAGCTCTTCTTCTTCCGCCGTAAGGCTCTGGGATCATCCGCTTCATTGTAATCTCTTGGCAGTCTCCATAGAAAAAAAATTTTGATCAAATGAGTTTCTTTCCCTCCTGGGGGCAATCTTGGGCAAAATACACCCACAAGGCACACCACTGACCCACCATGTGAAGACGTACAATGTATGAAACTTCACCTGTGAAAGCTTGCATGTTTGCTTCCATTAAACATAAGTCTTAAGGGGCTGTCCCTTCAATATATTGAGGTTGGAAATGATTAGCTGATCTGCAGTATCACTCGGTCTTTGCGTGCAGGATTTGTTGATAATCCATCAAGTTTAGATGGTTGCATATTTTTGATCTATGGAGAGATTTTTCCAACGACCGGTAGTTGCTTATTTCAAGACTTAAGGAAAATCAGGTTAGATTGAAAAATTATATTTAGATGACAATGTTACTGGATAAATGAACGTGATCCAAAAAAAATGTTTTGACAGAGATTTAAATACTTAGATAAACATAGGGTTTGAGAAAGGCTTATAAATTCCTGCAAGGCATTTTATTTGAGAAAGGAGATAAAATGACAATATTGGTGTGCTTACTCCTTGTTATGTTTGACCTTAGAGGGTGGGGCTTCTCCTGGTGTAGTTCTAGGGGTCATCAACAGCTTCCTGAAGTCTGCATTGGTCATGTGAGTCAGGCTACAGTAAAGGGTTGAGTAAATGAAAAGTCAGTATACATGGACACTTGAAGAAATAAAACAATATTCAACCACACAGAGCTCCTGAAGATGTTGCATGGGTTACCCCCGACGGCAGAGTGATCATGGTGATGGCATGTATGACACGCAAAAGACAAGACACAACTTGCCCGCAACAGGCAAGCCATACATTTACCTGCACATGTACACACGCATACGTGTCACAAGTTTTCATATTGATACTTTCTATACTTCAGGAACATGTCCACCCACAAGCTACTGCTACAACTGACACACATTTGATGAGCTTCACAAATCCCACTGCTTCCCAAATGAAGTGGAACACAATTACTGGTTTGTTGCTGGACCTTGAATAAATATTAAACAAGACACAGTACTGCTAACAAAAACAATTTATGCCAGAAGCCCAAGATTTTATTGAAACTTTGGAAGGAACTTAAGTAGACATTTGAGACACTTATTTTTAACTACTCATGATAAAATATCAACTGACTGGGAACTTACGCTGCATCGGAATCCTCTGACATACGTCGGATGTCCGCAGGCGGCAAGGGGTTGGAAAATGGTTCATCTTTGTCTCCTAACAAAGTTCAAAGTAATCCGACACTCTTTTATTAACATGCTGTTTCTTAACATGGGCTAAACATGACAGCCTTGAATTTTACATGCTAAATTAAAAAGAAAATGCATATGCACATCCATCTTAGACACTAGCTCTGATCAGCGCATTATAACTCCCAGTTCCCTGTACAGTGGCACACGGGGGTGTGGCCTCGATCATCCAAAGCTATTTTGGGAGTAAACTTCAGTCCTCCCCCTACAAAAATTCATAATCTCCGCTGATTAAAGTCCCATCTTCACCCTCGGTAAACTGATTTTGTTTTCCGACAAACATAATTTTGGTCATGTTGAGGCCACCGCACACCCTTTCTTAGCTAATGCATTTCCACTACTCCTACAACTGTTTCCAGTGCGTGTAATGTGTTGTCCAATGAAACGTCCTATCCACATGACGCATGAAACAAGAGACAAGCTGTAATTGGTGAATGTCACCAGCACACCATTCAAACAATAGATATTTTTCTTTCATTCGAGAGCAAAAGGAAACTGAATAGAAAGAGATGGGAGCCACATTGTAATTGGTGAAGCTGCCACACTGCTGAAAACGATGACCTTTCAACTGACATGACAGGGTGAGCTTGGCAGGCAGTCGTGGACAAGAGTGTGGGTAAGGAAAATTCTCATAAAATTCAGCATTTTAAATGGTATGGGGCAGCGCAGACATCTGCAAAATGACAGGTACTGTGCCGGTGAAAACAGCGATCTTGGCGATGTACGCATGCACCAGCGAGTCAGAGGATCGGGTTATACAATCTTTTCTTTGATCTGTACATACGCGCGCACTCGTTACAGTTGTTTTCACCGACGCGGTGTGGTTGCTACCCGTTTTTGGTGAAACTCCCGGATGTCCGCGCTGCCTCATAATGTAAATGAACCTCCCCATCCCATATAAAATTGTATCTCAGGAACCTCATGAAATTATAGGGGCAAAATTGGTGTAACGGCATAGAAATTTCATTAGCCTTGTGGCAAATACTGCATGGGTGATTTTGCACAATGGTAGAAAGGCATTGTGGGAAGGAAAAAGAGGCAATATACCCAAAAAACATGCAGTACAAACTGCAGTAGCACAATGTCGGATATGTATAAATCTTACAGTTCCGGAAGTAGGCCTAGTCTTAGTCCCATGACGTATTAAGTAAATTGATGGCGTAGTCCTACACAGGCAGTGGGCAGGTACGGTAGGTGATGTACATGTAGGCTACGCGATGTAGTCACGTCAAGGGCGTCGCTCATGAGGAGGCGAAAATGTGTCATGAAATAGTACACCATATTATTCATACAAAAACACAAGCCTCGCTACTTACGCTCTGGCATTGTTGGGAAGCTTATTAAACTGGAAGCAACTCTTGGCGGAAAATTGGTGGACTTCCTTTTCGAGATTTCCAGTTCCACCGAGACAAAATTTACCAAGTTACAACGATGCACTGCTGTCTGGCACCCAGACTGATGAATTGCGTATGGTCAAAGAACCAAAGAACTATTTAATGGTGCACCATCTACGCACATTTGCAGTCAATGAGGGCGCTCAATCGCGCGCGCCAGAGGCGAAGAGGCGAGGGTGTAGACAACTACATGTACAGTGTACATCCATGTCCATTGAAAACAATAATCATGGAATGATAAACTCAACAAAAAGTTCAGCGCTCAGTGACATGCAAACCGAAATTACTGGAGCTTCTAACAAAACCTAAATTATTGTCTTCACCCTAATCTTTCCATTTCTTTTCAATTTTCGGTGGTTTAGCATTTTTTCCTCTATTCACCTGTTCACGCAAAACAAACTTGCCCCTCAAAAGGGATAGCTCCCAAGCCTGCTCGCAGCCATATTTCAAACAGCTTCCCTCTACTTACGTAATTTCGTCAACTCGTCCCTCGGATGGAAGCCCCCAATCCAAGAAAGAGGTCCTGGCCTATTTTTCAACAATCTCTCCATTTTTTCCGGCCACACAATCTCCTTAAAAAGCCAATGCCAGGTGACACCCTCCCCATCAAAGCATCCCTTGCCTCTCGGTGGGTACAGATCTGTAGTATAGTATTTTCAAAACAAGAACTTACTCAATTTTCTATTCTGACAAGGAGATTTGAAAGTATTTTATTAATAGACAGATTTCAGTCCATACATAACAGTTCCAAGCATCTAGCCAGTTTATTTGTATATCACTCGAATAGCCCAATTTCAACACTTAACAGAAAATTGGCAAAGTTATCAACTGGTAACATAACAGCTTATCAAATAACAGAAATCTAAGCAATAATCATCTACCTAATCAGAATTTCTGTACATGCAACTCACACAATTCACTGAAATTACTTTTGCTGGGTAGATGCGTATTTCATCAAGTGTCATTCACATCACTTCACACAGGATTCGTTCATCTTTCCCAAATGATCGAAATCCTGAACCGGTTTCAAACGTTTTATATGAGGGCAAACAGGCCGAGCATTCCTGCCCGAACAATGCTAACTATAAGAATTTATGCAACATTGCAAATCGACACAATACCCCGATGTTTGCAACTGAAGTTAGAAGGGTTAATTCTCCTCATTAAGATCACACTTCAATAGATTAACACACAAATTTAAAAGTGACGCTGATCACAACATACACGTCGTAAGAGCTCACATATACAATGAGACTCAACCCCGCATGTTGTTCATTTTTCCAGTGGAAGCACCATTTTAGACTTCAGGGAATGTCTCCGAGCTCAGAAAAAGCTGGAACAGTCCCCTGATGTACTGCTTTTAGCAGGAAACACACATCCCTTTTTTTTTGTTTCATCTTCTACAAGGAGTTCATTAAGAGCCCCATATGTACACTCGGTTCCGAAATGTTCACCGTGGGGAAGGACATAAACCTCCATCCATCTACAGCCTCAGACTACACAAACTGTACAGCTAAGTTAAGCATAGTGATCTTAATCCAAGGGGGGCTTGATTCACAAAACTATAAGTATAGCATGCAGTCTGTGATGTACACAGAGATTTGGAAGATCCCCCGGGAGAAGGAACACTCCTAGCAGACCATAGGATTCGTCCTCTGATCAGAGTAATAAATCCGTTTAACAGGATCAGAGAACGTTTTGAGATACACCCTGGCTTGCTCCTCTTTTGTGCACAAATGCAAACTCAACAGTGACTGAATTACTGCAGAGTTCTCTACATTGTCACCATGTAAAGCCCTGTGGAACTTTCAACAACTGCAAAGGCTTCCTGCAAGATTTCAAGGAGCAGTACTCAAATCATGAACCATTTCACTGCTTTTGCTGTCTTGCCAACCTGCCAACCTAGGCATCCTGCTAATTGCTGAAAGAACTAATTCATCAAATAGCACTTTTAAAAATCTATTTCTGGTGGAATGCATACAAAAATTACTAATATTGTAAAATGGATGCAATCCACTCCCATATTTCAATGGTACATCCACATGTACTATTTCACAGCAGATCAAGAAACATTCATGTAAGTTTTTAATTTTGTAAATTTAACCATTTACAAATTTCTCACTATTTGAATTCAATGTTTGATCATTCTCATTAGCTACTTTGAAGGCTGCTTGCTTCACTACATTTTCATCAACATAAAACACTGCAGCTGTCTTAAAATTCCCAAGCTTGTACAGCCAGTCATCATTAATCTATGATTAGTACACCATACTTGAGTAAATTAATCAAAATAGGCAAGACAAAACTTGTTTGAAAAATGATATCTTCTCATACAAGAGAGATTCCAATAAACTGTCTCAGTACCCTCGGCAGGGAGGTTGCTGGAACTATGAGAACATGAAATTGCCAGGAATTGGAAGAAATCAAATGAATCCTACATGAACAGGGTATGCCGGAAAAAAATGAATCCTGAAATAAAGGGTTAATGAATCCAAGTTGTGTGCCATGTTAAAATGACTAACTATTGTGTTTGCCATAAAGAGCAAAACACTTTGGACTTCCTCAACTCATGCTTCACCAAGCAGCACTGTTTTAAAAATGACTGATCACATCTAACATGGCCCGAAGCAAAGTTTAACGTTTTTGAAACATTAAAAAACAAGATGGTTATCAATTCAGTCACAACAAACACTCTTTGCTCAATGGTGAGCTGGACCATGACACTAACTGTTGTTAGACATATCTAGCTAACTGGTTTTAACCGAAACAACTTTTTTTTCTCATGCATCAGCCTAATGCATCCGCATCACATAGCTAACCTGAGATACGTTTTTCCGCAAAGCAAGACTACAGGCATTCCATTTAACACAAATAAATGTTGGCTTACCACTTTCCCCGAATGAAACTCCAATTCTACAGAAGTGTCGCAAATGGCTCTTGACATACATGTACATGTAACATTTTCCAAACAAAGGTGCTCAGTGAAGCATGACAAAAGGGAAGCCATAAAAGTCTTATTTGAATACATCTTGCTCCTACTTTATGAAAAATACACGATCATAGTCGTAGAGCACACAACTTCATGAAATCAACCCTTTTTTTCTGGGCCATCATATACACGTATACAATGCAAATGTAAGAATGTCCTTTTTGTGGAGTTACGACTGATCCCTGGAAGAGGCCCGACAAACACAAAAAAGGGTTTACATTTTCGTAAACTAAAACTCACAGTTCTCATAGAATACCCTCCACTCTAAATTTAGGGGAGGATATTCTGTTAGTTCATGCCTAAAGTCCATCATATACAAGTATATTTACTATAAGAAACCATTCCACTATATATCTTTTCTCTTATTACCTTTAAAAAGCTTTGATTCAAATGAAAGTGATAATGACAAAAACTAAACCAACTAAGACTTTAACAACAGAAATAAATCACTGAAGCATTGTTGAGGTTCAACAAGCCCACTTTTTTATGGATGAATGTACATGCATGTCCTCAGTTGAAAAGAAATAATCCTTCTCTTAGATTTCGTATTCAAGACAAAATCAAAATCAGTATTGTAGCAAAGTATTGGGGCATTCAAACTGGATACCACCACAAGAGGAATTGAAACAGTCCAATTGTACGTACATGTATCAAAGTACCAAGATTACTTGAAAGGCAGAGATGCATGCCACTAAAATGAAAGATGCCTACCTAATGCATAGAACGTAGGAATGTTCGAAGAAAACACAAGTTGTTACCAAGTTGAAAAGAAATGAAGTGAAAAGCATTCCAGGTGAAAATGGATGGGGGAGAACAGAACACTAGCACAAGACTAGCACAAGAAACATGCAAGTCCCCTTGCATAAAGATCCAAGACTTAGCATTTTGATGATCAAATGAAACTGTAATAGATTTTGACCGAGTACACAAAGGCTAAAATTAACACCTGAATAGTAAATTATTCAAGTCAATCCAAAATTGACAACAATTATTTACAAGTTTTGAACCCTTTTCCTTTGTTTGAATGACAAGTGACTCTAAGCGAATGCAAAGCCTCTAAATCTAAATGTACACGTTGTATGTACCTCATTTTTTACAAGGTACCAGTACAAGCAACTGGCTATCTCTTGAAGTAAAGCATTATGGAAATCACTTTCATTTGTTAGTACCAGTATCTATAAAAACTGGTCTTTGATTTAACAACGCACTACAATATGAGAAGGCGGTGGTACAGGACAATCTTTCATATACATGTACATTCAAGTAATGTGAATTACATGTACATGTACCAGTTGTGCTTGAGTTGCCCAAATATGCCATGTTAGGATACAACCCCCATTAGGCCACTGCTGCTTAAACACCAAACTACAACTCCAATATTTTGGGCCAAGCGAGAGTAACATTTCAAAACAAAGCAATACAAAATATTGCCTATGCGGTAACAGCTCTTTTATCTTGTAGTTATGGAAAACCAAACTGTGATATTGAATAGCAAAGCCTGAAAGTAAACCTTTCATGGCAGAGCTCCTGGTAGGAAGTGTTTCAAAACCTTGAATACTCTGATGGAATCACCAGTGTTGCCGTCCATTACAAGTCCGTTCACAAGTAGAGTCCTGTCCTTATGTACTAACAGGCTGAACAGTGCCACAGGTTCAGTTTAAAAGGCTTGTGTCTTGGCTTTAATAAGACTGAATGACTTGTGGTGGGCTCACAGGGACTTGTAATGGACTAGGCTGAGCACTGAACATTAGCCTGCCATACAGACATGTATGTACACCCACCCAAGAATGGCCCAACCCTACATGTTCAACACATTAAGATCATGGCATTTTATGAGGAATGTTCACCGAGCAGTCAACCAATGCCACAATCCAAATGGAAACAATGTGTGGGCACATTTTCATAAAGCTAGCACAACAGAAAAGTCCAATATTGCTTAAATGTTGAACTGAATAAATTTGACTTGTCACATTCCATTCGATGTAACACTTGAATAATTCCCTGTCATCTCGTCGATGGGTGGAGGATGATGTGATTACTGATTTATTCATACAAACACGTGGCACAAATGTACCAGGTACCAGCACTGCAAAAATAGAATGTTCAAATCGATAAATATTAGACAAACTAATCCCTAATAACAAGACATTTCTGAACTCATACATGTACATGTAGTTGATGCAGACGTATACATGTACATTCAGCTGGGGATTTATTCGGCATTAAAAAAAACAATGAATATGCCACATTCATGCCATGGAAAGAATAACTTCCTGAGGTGACAGATGGGAGAATCCATTCCACTCGGCCTTGCGTTGTGAAATGAAACGTTCCATCTGCCATCTCATCAAACGATTCTCACCACGGCACTCATTCCTTTATTGGCACACTGGCACGCACATATTGTAGTGCGTTGTTCATCTCTCATGCTTGGTTGCTCCTAGTTCTCTTTCTTCTCTGTCTCTGTGGCGGACTCTTCATCTGAATATTCCGTGGGCTCCTCCCCTGGTTTCAACAACTTGCCCACGTAGTCATATTTTTCTGTGGAGATAAGACAAAGATGCACATGTAACAAATCACAGTGAATGAAACTTTCTTATCAAGAACAAAAATGCATCAATTGTGAAAATTTGTAAAGAGAGACTTTTAACACTGAGAGGGAGGGGCACAAAAGATCTTCTTTCCCACGACTGCACAAGCAATCCATTTTTAAACAATTGCAACACAGATCAAGGTTCAAGCTTGAAGGGTAGTAGTGACAAATTTTTCATTGACACAGGTTTTTTTGGTAACTTTACATGTCAATTGCTTCGTTGATAAATGTACAGAAAGTGCACTTTATTATACATTGAAAACTTTGCCGTGCTTTCCTGGGAAGCTGAGGGCACTGTTCTTCCGTTCAAATTGTGAATCAGAATTTACACACTGAAAACATACTAAGAAAGGATTGCTTACAAGCAAAAAAAGGATTGCTTACTTGCAAATACCAAAGAAATGAATATTGAGGCCAGCAAAATCAAAAGAGTAATTTCTGTGCATAAACCACCGTAACATTAAAGTGTTCTTCGATGGATGCCATGTTGCTCACTAATATAGTAATTTACATAAAAATGAAAAAGGTGGCAAAATATCCTTTAAAACTGTAACAGAAATTGAAAATCGGGATACCTGAAACAAAAAGGTGCATTTTGCAGGTCTGAATTGTAACAAAATGTACTTAAGAGACCGTTTAAGGTTCAGCTAAGCCAACTCTTTATCAGATTTTTTTTTCTCTCATCGAAGATAATCTCAGATCAAAACACAGTTTTATCAAAGCAGTCACCTTAAAATCGCTGTGCGCATGTACACATCAATAAAAACCATTTTCTCGCAATGCTGGGTAACCCTGTTACCTTTTCATTGAGTGTAAGTTGTCTGACTGCACCTGCATGCCCCCCTGATGTTTCCAAACAGTAATTTCTAATGGCTGACACTTACCCATGAACTGCATTTCCCATTCTCGGACACCATCCAAAGATTCCTTGTCTAGGTCAGAAAGGTCATCGTACTCATCTTTGAAAGAATCCTTATCCAAAGAGAATGTTGCTAAGGCACGGGAAGCATCGTGACCAGCAAAAACGCCGTATGGACCCCCTGCATACAGACAAAATGACAGATCACTGCACACTCAAGTGTAAACTGTCATCTCACTTTTGATAGTGTAAAAACCGTCTGTGGATTTCACAAGTGCAAATTAACCACGTTGGAGGAAGTGTTCTTGATATGCCAGGCAATTTTTTTTCAAAGATGGGCATGCAACTCTTGTTTTCAATAAAAAGAGGAAAACCTACGCGAACGACACAGCAAGTGTAAAGTGAAAAGCCAATACAGTGGGCCCCGAAAAATTTTGAATTCTGGATGCTCTCTGGTACATTCTGGGCAGTTCTGGAAAAGACTCTTGCTGACTGGCTCATGAAGAAAGTCTTTCTTCAAGAAGAAAGCGAGAGATGCCTTGTGACCATGTCCTCCCTTTTCAAAGTCATTTTTCCACGTTGTCAAATGATCTCAGATGTTTTTCCGACACGTACATGTATATGTGCACGTACATTGCTCAGAGCGACAGCATGTGCAGTCCGTATCCATGCAAGTTGATTGAGAAAAAGATACGGAGCCAGACTATTGACCAGAATAGAATAGAGGGCGCTATGATAAACAGCTCATTTAAAAGTTTCCTCTCACACACTAGCACAGAACCAGACAACAATTTCTATCCTTGTTTTTTCTGAGTGGAAGCATGATTGTATGAGTTTCCGCCAAGCGGCAGCAAGGCCTCATCATGTCAACCGTGCAGCGATCCCAGGTGCAAGCAAACGATGAAAGTGTGGACAAAGCCTAAGGTGGAATCTTTTGTGGTCCGATCTTTTAAATAATGCGGAAATCCGCAGCTCCACGGAAGAGTTGCATGCCTGCATAGAAAGTGATGAAGACCCACACAAGACACAAAATTTGATAAAACTTCAAATTGTTACCACTCGATGCAAAAAATGCTGGCTTCAATCACAACAATGACCTAAAGTTACACATTGAACAATTTGTAATGGTACCAACAGACGGCACGATTAGGATATAAATACGTACATGTACATCCGTCTGCATGCATGTTGATAAGGTTAAAATCTAAAGCATACAGGAAGACACATGTACTAGTACATGTACATACAGCTGTATGTACACGTATACTGGTACAGGTGTAAGTACATGTAGGTTTTGCATGCGTTGGAAGGGGAGAATTTCTTGTTAGGACACAGGGGTGAAATTGGAGAAAAATGAAAAATTCAGAATGTAATCACTGGACATTTTGAGCGCACCCATTAACATCCACGTACATGTACCCATATTTGTGTTCTGTATCAATATTACATGTAAAAACTTTGAAGTGGTAAACATGGGATATTCCAGATTCTAAGAACAGGTTGTTTGAAAAATCCTGAAATCAGGGAAAAATCCTGACCAATCCCACCCTTCAGGAAAGCTGGAATTGCAGTATGGACAAAATTTGTAACCATAATGTTTTTGTTCCTCATAATGTCTACAATTAAACACATGTACACGCATAATCTCCATTATAAAGTAACAAATGTACATGTGCACAACCACACGTACACATGTATAGGTACAATGAACACTGTATGCGCCCACAGTGTCTAAAGGTACATGTACTTGTACATGTATGAACATACTTGCTCCGCAGTTGTGGGGACGTACACGTTATTTCACCTATTTTGTAGAGATCGAGAACATCATGAAGACAGCGAAATGTCCCCAAAACTTGGTTCTAATGGCTCTGACTTGGTTCTAATTTCCCCTTAAACACTGGTGAAGGCCTGCCTGTTGTACATGTACTTTCACATGCATGATGTATCCCCACCATGCCTACAGTTCGTGCCTGCACCATATACAAGAGTTTAATACAAAGTTCATTTTTCACAGAAAGGTCGTCCAGTCTTTGTTGGCTGGCTTAGTACCAGTATATTTTAGGTACAAGAAGCTCCAAATGCAGACTCACAACTTGTACATTGGAACTGCTTTATCTGATCAGTGTGTGTGCATTTCTGCTTGGCTTACTAAATGGCATGACTAAGCACAGGACTGGGATACATAGGTCGGCAGTCTGCAATACAGTGTTTGGTGATATTTGCACAAACACATGAAGCACATTGTGTGGTGAACCCATGTTTGCATTACACCTTGGATGTACATGTACATGTATGCTATGGATGTCTGCAATAAGTGACTTCAAGTTCCAAAAAAAAAAGGATATCGAATATTGTACAGTAGATATCTTTAGTTACAAAGCCAAAATTATGCACAAATGAGCCCTTTTTAAACCTTTCCACGGTGAAGGTGCATGGGGCAGGTACATTGAAAATAATGTCTCAACCTTGTGTGATTCATGGCAGCTCATACTAACGCATAAATTGTAAATAGTATGCCAGTTTGCCATTTCATCTTTGACACATACATGTACAAAAATTAGAATTCCACTGCCCTTCTGGAAGGTGTTCTCAATATTGTGCACCAGTAGGCAGATCACACACACTTCACCATACATGTAGTTAGGCTTGACCAACTCCAGCACCCTACACATACCGGTAGCCGGTACATGCATTTAGAATTGCCGCAACTACATGTATGGTGTATACATATAGTTAGCATTATCCCAACTGTAATGCAACTTCTGGGAGTTAAATTTGAATAAAATATGGTACACCGAGCTCGTTAAATTCATGTGAACGTAACGCTTAAAATTCTCCATATTAAGTAACCGTTGCTATGCATTGTGCCTCGTGATTTAGGCGAGCTTTTGCTAAGTTACATAAGAGTACACTGTTTTCAATGGATTAGAGGGCACAAAGGAACCAGTCTATTCCAGAGATGGTGGTCACTGTAAAAAAAGGTTGCCCAGAATCACTAAGCACAGTAACAGTGTCTCATAGACTGGGGAATTCAAAGTGTTATGTTTAAGTGCAATCGGATAACTCAGAGTACCAGGTTTGTTCAAAATTGACTCCAGAGTCTGACAATGGAACTGACAATGTTACAATGTACATGTACGTCCCAATTATGGCAATAGCCCCTATTATTATACTTGGACAAGTCTAAACTATAGTTGGGATAGGCCCAAGTATAGTTGGTGTCACCACAAGTCACCACAGGTCTCCATTAGACAGTCACTAATAATTCAGTTGTGAATCAATTTGTTTGTTCTGATCTGATTTGTGAACTGACAAGTTTGTGCATTAACTTGTATTTATGACTTGTGTCGCGGCAAAATTGACTGCTGATCTAGTGAGTGTTGTTGAACTAATTCAGGGGCGTCAGCAGCCAATCGTGTAAGCCTCGTGTCCTACATGTAGCTGCGCAATTATAAGTGTTTTCTAAGTAAACACACTTTCCCTCCTAGTTTGAACTTGCCTGGACTTTTCTGCTGATGGCTAATAGGTCTCCGTGGGGAAATATTATTCTGCCATCCATATATGGAATTCTTTCCCGGTTGTACATGTACATGTATTTCATAAAAGCCTTGTTAAGTTTGGCAATGATAAGCCTTAACCACACATGATGAGTTTGTCCAATTACATGTATTCATTTTAGTTCATCCTAATGACAATGTACGCCTCCTAAAATCACTGTGTAAGTTACAGAATGCATGTTCCGTATGCCATCATTTGCTGCACAAGTTCCAAATTTTCATTGGTTTGAAACGCTATGGGATTCTGAATGTACCCATTTACATTTATTTTGCCTAGAATTGCCCTTTTTCAATCAAATCTTCCCCTAAAAGCCCTCCGCAAAACAGAAGACTCTGCATCCCGCTAGAGTTTGGGACGCATGCTAGAGCTAGAGGACAATGTTTTGATTTCCCCTCCCCTTAGTCATCACTACGCTAGTGTGGTGGGCATGGTGGGGAATATGTCAGGAGGATTAAGGGGATCACAGCGTAGTCAAAGAGTTTGGCATAATTCACAGCATGCATACTTCGAAGCACCTCCCGGTACTTTCTCTCTTCACGGTTCTACATTCATGACATTGCTCACCTGGTCCGTAAAATCTCCTCCCCCTCGACACATCAAAAACTTTGCCGTTCACTGCAACCAGCACCCGTTTGTCTGCGCCAGTGCCATCGTAGTCTTTCAAATCTTGCAGGGTGAAATCTCTCTTCTTCATCTTCGGGAGAGGTGGATCCCTGGGTGGATCTGGCTTCCTTCTACTCCCTACAAAGATTTTGTAGAGAAGAAATCCGCAAACGGACAGTAATGCGAGATTTATTGGGTTGAAAAACAGCTCTCTCAACAGTTCCTCGACCGCCATGGTGGATGCTGAGAATTTAGTCTGGTGAACTTTATTTTATTTGTAAAGACTTTAGATGAGTGGCGTCCAGGTATCAGACTGATTAGCTTTCGCTTGTGCTACGTAGATTTCGCGCGTCGGGGTCGCGATATCGATAGATCGCATGTTCACAATCATGACCTTGACAAAAGTCCCGAACTTAATCTGGGCGGAGCGCAAAAAGGGAGGGATTTCTTCTCTTCAATTTTGATTTGAAAACACAAAAAGGTAGAATCAACAGGGTAATGAAATAAATATTACACAAAAAATAACTTGACAGAAGACTGTTTCTTTACTTTCTGAAATAACTTGTGATAGGTAATTGCACTTATAAACAAACAAAAACGTAGCTTCTGCTGTTTATTTCAAAAGCAATGTATCTTTAAGATGTTAAGTTGAAAAGTACAACGAGAAAAGAGAATGTATAATTGTAATATCCGGCTATTAGAACAGTTACAGTTTGAATAAAAATATGATGATCTACCACTTGATGGCATCATGGTGGTAGGTAGATCAATTTGCCATCAAACCTGTAGGCCCAGTCTAGCACAACGCATACCACCCGCATGTTTGCATTATTGCTAAAGCTCACTGTACGTGTACGATTTGGGTCAGCTTACCACTAATTCATTGGCTACGATCACATAACAGGGGCGGATCCACGTTGCAACGGGTTGGGACATTTTTTGTTCGTACAACATAAGCCTTTACGCCGTCGGCGAAGCCATAAATCTCTTGTTTTGTTCTTAGCAGCACACGCAAAATAAGACATTGTGCTTTATTTTTTATAGGGTCTGAACAATCCCTGCCGGAAAAACTATCTGCTTATGCAACAGTACATACATGTACATTATACATGTACATATACACAATATGCCGCATAATTAACTGTCGTGTACGAGAGTACTACATACTAGCCTTCCTGTTTCTCTCAGGGTTATTACACCCGGCAAATTCCTTAGGTGTTCCTGACACCAAGGGCTCACTTTTTCAAATACGGGAAACTGTCCCACTAGTATGCGCTTCATTCATCAATACACGCGAGTGTCAGTCGGCGAAGACGCGTCCTCGTACGTTCAAGTTCAGGGGGCGTGGGTCCGTCCAACATTTCCCTGCGGAGTGCGCGAGCGGGCAGATTTCATTATTAAAAAGTTGTTGGATATTCAGTTGAAGGCAAACAGAAGATCTAGGGGAAAGTAAATGGTATCATCCTCTTAATAGTAATTAAATATTTCAAAGATTAAATAGGTTTACACAGTTGACAATAATCCGGGACCAGAGGGCACTGGTGGTAGAGGCTAAAGTGTATAAGTGTCTTTCACCAAAGCAGTTTTAAGCCTAGACCTATAATTTTGAGCACAACTGGTAGTTATACCACTGAAGTAACACACCCATCACACGCGTCATGATCACGCGGAAACGTTGATCCGTGTAATCTTCAATGAGGGCTCTGAGACTTTACATAATGCACTTGAATTAATTAACCCTTCCCTTCCTAGTGCTGTCATACAGGGGGCGGTATGTACGACTACAGGCGGAAAAACGATTGCTACTATAATGTCATACACTATTAGAGCTGCTGACTCTGTAGACAAATTCAAGTCTACGCTAAAAACATAATCTCCTTGCCCAACTGTAGTTTTGAATCCTCTTTGTTCATGGCAATAATTGACATTGAGACTTCTGACTGGGATTATGATGGAAATCTAGCAAATGTGGACCATGGTCACCTCCCATGAAGTTGGTGAAGTAATTTAGTGAAGTCACACCTGATCGTCACGGGAATTTCTTCCGTTCATAATGAGTCCGTCATCTCAAAAACGATCTGCGTGCATCTTAATTTACCTAAATGGAAAAGTCCGTCGTTTAATTTCCATCTCAAAGTCAAGGTGGACTGTAAATGCTCCTTCTAGTTCGACATCAGCTTGTCAATGAGGAAATTCTCTCAGTCTCGATACCAGTGATAAAATGTTAATAACTACCAGGGTCAAAATTTGAGGAAATAAACTGAATGTGGTTTTAAAGCCCTAGGTCCATAGACATGGATATTTCTCATGTGCTTCCCCCAAGTTATGGAACATAAGTATTTAATCGCAATTTGTTTGTTTGTTTGTTGGGGTGTTTGTTTGTTTGTTTGTTTGTTTGTTTGTTGGGGTGTTGGGGTGTTGGGGTGTTTGTTTGTTTGTTTGTTTCATAGTGACGGTTTACTTTTCGAGTCGGGAATGAAACCAATGGCTAAAGAATCAATTCATTGTCAATTTCTACTGGCAGATTGATTTAATTAACTTGCCTTTGCAATACATGCATTGTATTTGGATTCTTTTACAGCGCAAACTTGGGGGGTTGGGAACGAAATCGGCATTCCTCAGCTGTTGATGGAAAAGAAAAGTAAATATTTGGAATGCGGGTCTTGCCATTGAGTCTTGTGAAAGAGCTCTGTAGCAAGAAGAGGTTGAATGCAAAATTCCATCTCAGAGGTGAAAGAGTTGACAATCCCGATTCCTCACATTCTTTACGGAGTTTGCGCTGTCTTCACTATACGCAGGCCATCTTCGCCGTCTAGGAATCAGTCTTGCATCATATGTATCCTATCAGTACATCTTAGGTCTGGTGAGTATAGTTCACTGCTTCCTTAGTATGTAAAGCTTATTTCGGTTGTAACACAATTGTGTCTGTTTAAAGTGTCCTTAAGATTTGAGAGCCCGGCCTAGCATTTTGAGGATGGGCTGGGCACTTAACGTCAAATGAACGGAATAACGCAAACTGTACGAAAGGCAACCCTAAATTTACTCAGCAATCCCCGTCCACGGCCTGTTATCTCTTCAACACAACCAACAGCTAGGCCTGGATTCGGAAAGAGTTCCATATACGAACAACACTAGTTTTCCCTTAAAATTTAATTAACAGCCGTCAGGAATTGACAACATGTCCGAAGAACTTACTTTGAAAATACTTCTTTTTTTATCTCATAGGTTAAGTCATTAAGTCTCATAGGTTTGTGTACAGGGGCATCATGCGTTGTCCGTATGGAACTCTCTCCCTAAATTTACAAAACGAAACGTTTTTATTTGGAGTTAAACCCTGTCGCCCTGAGTTCAAAAATGGCATGACGTCTGCTATTTCCCGGCGCTGACCATTCATTACATTAAACAGAAAAAGGATTAGTCCACCGAAAGAATGTCTCAAAAGACAGACGAAACTGTCCCGAGTATACCATCGAAAACAGTCTTTCGTTCTGTTTGACTAAAATGCTCATACATTACCAGCGATTTTGATTACTCTATTCAGAGGCTGACAGGTATCAGGGGCGGATGCGGGAATTTTTTTTTTCGGAGGGTGTCACGTCGGAGATTTTTTAATGTCTCCTTTTTGCAGACAAGCGGAAACCCAATATGCACCCGAAAAGGCTCAAGCACCGACTCACAAACCCGAAACTATACCTCCGGCAAATTCTAACGCAATCCTTCCTTAACTCTGAAAGGGCCAGCGGCGTATTCAGCTTTTGGCCGGGGGGCAAATTAAAAAGCGAATGCGGCTTCGGGCTCACTCCACTTGATGATAGGAGTAAAAAAAATCGAAAGCCTTACGGTCCCGACATCTTTGCCTTTATTTGCTAGTTAGAGTTCTTGTGTTAATATCTGATAAATAAATATACCAATTACTTTCTTTCCTACTCACCTATGATGTTATCTTAAGTAAAAGAAAATAATAATAACTTAAAATCCAGGGGGGGGGGAGTTGCCCACTCAGTCTGTCCCTCACCTGATACGCCACTGACCAGGCCTATTTTGGACCTTCCAGTTTCTACAGCCGGGGAGGGAGAGGGCTATAATTAAGATCTTAGCTGTCCCAGGCGCCTGATCTATTTTCAAACATGCATATAAAGACATAGAGTATAGCTTGACTCATTATAAAGACATAACGAGTGCAGCTTAAAGTTTCAATTCTACCTGACGCATAGGGCTTTATTGTAACCATAGTCATTTGAAGTTCTTCCCAGATCTCACGTGTGTGACCCACGTGCACTATAAAGCACAGCAATGGGAAAAAGTTAATATCAGGGGCTGACCGTCTCGGGGAAAAAAACCCAGCCTTTCGTGATAACGGCACCAGCTATTTCCGTTTGGATACAAGTTGTATCAAAACGATCGTAAGACGTTACTACAAAACTTCTAAAGGCATGATGATCACCAAGACAATAACGCATGGCGATACCGAAAAATGTCTGCGGTGGATTCTGCCCCAGCTCTTTTTAGCGGTAAAATCCTCAGCACCTTTGTACAAATCACTTGCCGATTTAAATTTGAAAACTGACAATGAATATGAACAAAATATAACACTTGAGTCAGAAGGATGGATCTGAATTACAGCCCGAGGGTTTTATTGGTTAGTTTGGGGGAGAGGATGTTTCAAAGCGGAACGCCCGAAGATAGAGCAGCCGCGGTGTGCTAGTGGGAAATGCTTGGTTCATAAAATTCAGGTAAAATACATTTTTTTCCTGTGAGAAACAGTTTTTGAGTTCTTCCCAAAACTAAATATTAAAGAAAAATTCCTAACGCGGAAGGACTTTTCCCAGTGACAGAAAAAACAAATCGTTGACTTGATGGGCTTGAAAAAATCACTGTAAAGCAAATTCAAGTACGGCTATTTCAGATAATTTTCCAAAATTCCATCAAACAAAAAATTAGTAGAACACGTACGTGTGATTCAAAGTCGAGACTGGGGAGCAACACGGGGAAATGCCCGCATTTCAGTCGTTCAGTTAGTTTTTTATGCTCGTTTCCTTTTAAGCCTGAGTTATGAATATGAGATATATTCAGTAGGTTTTCATCAAATTGCCAATTTTCCAGATATCCAACATGGCCGGGAACTGGTTTTTCCTCCTGCTAGTTCCCTTGTATTTGGCTGCATCTTTGTGGAGCCAGACGGTCTCATCAAATGTGGCCGATAGTGCTTTGGGGGGCTCTGGAAGTCCGGTGAAACATGAAGGTATGAGATCCAGTTATAAAAAAGACAAGGATCATAAGAGAATCTCAAACCGCATCGAAGGAAATAATACACAGTTGACTCTGATTATAAAGACCAATGTTATAACAAAATACTGTTATACAGAACAAATTTTGAGGATCCCACTTTCTTGAATTCTTATGTTTTTCTTTCTTTTTTTCACTCCTCTTATGACAAAGTCCTGTGTATAACAAAGTACCTGTAATTTGTCTGATCCCTGCAACTTTGTTACAAGAGTCGACTGTATTTACTTCGACTTCCCATCTGTGCAGCAGAGTGTTATGAATTTCCACAGTAGATCAATACACGCACATTATTATGGTACTCCAACCAGAGTGAACCTTGCACTGCATGTGGGGGCCTACATGTACATCATCAAACATCTTTTTCTCCGTCTGAATCACATGAGATTTGGAGCACATGCAATGTGCTTCCATGGGGTGTTTTTGTACCAGAGGACTCTTTACTTGCAAATTATTAAAGTTACATTTCAACAGTCTTGCTCAGCACATTTCATAGAACCCTATGGCAAATGATCCGACAGAACTTAGAGTAATCATCTGTTTAAATGTTTCATCTAAATCTTTTCCTATAAAAGTCAATTGCTAGAAGTTTGACTGAAGATATTCCATTCTTCACAAAAAATCTTTCAAGGTATACGTGTGTCAATTAGGTACACTAATGTGTCACTACATCATCGATTTCTCAATAGAAATACCCGTAACTGCAACCCTGGATGAACTTATTGCCAGAATTAAGAAATCAGCCGACCAAATCATGAAGCAGAAGCTACAAAGGACAAAGGAAATCTACAAATTGGGTGACATTCCTTCTCATCACAGGACAAGACGATCCATTCCTGATCAGCTGTCTCGAGTCCAACATCGTAAGTTGAAATCACATGCATCTAGTAAATCAATGTAAACATATATTTTCGAAAAATGTAAAAAGCCAGTCAATTCAATATTTCTTAAGAAGTCATTGATTGGTGTTCCAACATGGCAAATATTAGTAAACAGTATAGCACTCGTACATGTACCCGTGAACCTAACAATTTAATAAAAGGTTTTCATTTCCATTTTGTTTGAGTTTTGATCCGGAGCATATTCCTTTCCCCTACAAGACAGGATACCTTTTTAATTTTTTTGAAGCAAAACTTTTACCACTGGAAACTTGAGCTTTGCAGTGAATGAGAAACAAATACCGAAATTAAGACACGACTGAACTTTCTGACGACTTTCAAATAGCCCACTACATCTGCACAAAGGAGAAATGATTTTCGCACAATTAAAAAGTACAAGTTTTTGATAATTTCACAGGACAGCTACATACTTTGCAACAATACAAATTCATTCAGCCTTGGATGACACCTTTCCATCTACGCCCAACAAGATTTTAAACACGGATCCACAATTGTGCTCCTCAAGGAACTTAAAGAACATTCCTAGGTCCATGTGATAGTCTCGACCACCTCGGACAGCAAACTCCTTTTCCTCAAACCCACTAAATTTTCTGAGGTCAGACACGGGAGTCAACTGACCCTTTCCATCACAAAATGGGAAGTCTTCCCGATGCTTGCAAGAGATCTTTTTCCAGTTCATTCTTCGGAGGCGGTTCCAGAATTCCTCAGCAGAACTTTTCTCCCCCTCAATGCAGATGATGCCTGGCTTTCCAGGGAGACAAAACCCTGTTACCGGCAGCTCTGCACCCCAGTCTAAGATATCCCGTCTTTTGAACTTGCTGTAGATATGATGACTATGAATCCAAAGTCTTGTAAATGTGTCATCATGTTTTGTTTTCTTGGACAAGTTTGATAGACTTTTGTCTTTTGATGGGGAGGGAGGTTCGACATATTTGTAGGTATTTTCTCTAATCCATTGGATTGCTTCACCGATGCAGAGCTCCCCTCGGTCCAAACTTAGAATGTGCTCAGCAACGTCATCATTCAGTCTCTTCTGCTGCTGGCGTGTAAACAATGGTGCGTCTGATCGAACCAAGACCTCTGGGACATCCTGTGGGTACATTTCAGGAAGAAGGCAGATCACATGCAGATCACACTGCAAAAAAATGACAATATGGGAAAAATTCAGATTTCAGGCAAAAACTATACACTGTACCTTGAACATGTACTGTACACACATACTCACATACATTTGTGTATACATGTAGTACATTAAGTAAATATAACAACGTATTCTAGTATCTGCTATTAAATATTTATTTAGGTGAATGAGTATCTACTTGTACCCTGAGAAAATGTAACTCTCGTCCTGATGCTCATGTGATCAGGAAGGATAAAATCACAAATTTTCTGTTACCACAATGATGAGTGTGAGGCTGGAGTTATTTGGCACTTGGTTGTTTTTCTCCAGAGAACTTCAAAAGGGAATAATATATGTTGGCCGCAATCTGTCCAGCTGCATCATAATATGGGTGATTCACGAAAGTGCATCTCAAAGAGGTTGCAACGTGTTGGCCAATCATGATGCACGAAATCTGTCGGCCCAATGCGCATTTGGAAAGGGTCGACAGATTTTACGCATCGTGATTGGCTAACGCGTTGCAAACTCTTTGAGGCGTGCTCTTGTGAATCACCAGTATTGCCAGATCATGCTGCACAAGTAGTCAATCCTGTAGTAACTTTTGCTCCCTTCTTTTGAAACAGTATTTCACAACTATGAATCTGAGAGAAAAGGTGATTGGTAGATGGTAAATAATCAGCAAATTGTGCAATCAAATTAAGCAATCACACAGATCAACCGACTGCCCAATTTCTGCTCATGTAACTAGGAGTAGCAGGTTTGATGAGTAGTAATGGTTTAGTTTTGATCTGCATGTAAGAGATGCACAGGGGATGGTTTAGTTGCTTAAATGAGGTAAAACTTTTGGACAACTTCAGGTTATTCAACTTCTAATACAAGGTATGTATTAACATGAAATTAACTCAGCAGCCTCTGGAAGTTTTCCTTTTGCATTGAGGTGACTTGGTTTTATTGGGCATGTTGGGGAGGGTGCTAAAAAAATGTAAACTTGTAACCATGGTTACTAAGTTTGGCAGTTAAAGACACAAATGCATGTGTGTATGTCGTGCATCGTACATTACTGTACGTAGCATTGCAGTTTATCACGGTCCTAAGTAAATTAGGCCTGCATAATTCAGTAACACTAACAACATTTATGACTCAGTCTCTGTCAAGTGATGTCTGCCATCACTATTTAAGTAAAACTCCCAGACCATGCAGACCACCATGTGGACGTTTCATAAATTTCTTCATAATTTACCTCAGGTTCTTCAACCTTAATTTTGATTGTGAAGGTTATTTGACGATATCCCTCCAGTGCTGTAGCTGTACTGTCATGACTGTAGCCTTGGTCGCTGACGATACTGCGTGCTTCAGAAATGACACTCGGGTCATCAACACAAAACTCTTCGTTAGGAAACATACTCTGAAGCATCTCAACTTCCGAAAGCTGAAGCTCAATGAGTTCCCTTTTCTCCATTTCAAGCTCACCTTAAATCGATCATTACACTCAGAATCAATTTTACACTTTCTGCTTCGGAATTTGGTCACCCATGCCATTCGTCAAATCCAACTAATCATGGGCGCCGCCATCTCATACTCGTTCAATTGTGAGAAAATTATTACACTTTCTAAGCCTCAACTGTATAAATGGGAACTTTCTGATAAAACTTTTAAATACTATAGACCATTAAAATATTATTCCACTTTTCAGACATATTCTCCCAAATTTTTAGTTAGGGCCTAGCCTACGTTGAATCCTTATCTCTTTGATTTTAAGAAGAAAATGTAAAGCGCCACCAGTAGTTCATAAAAATTTATTAAAAATATTCATAGGGAAGGCGTGACTAGATGATCGAGCAGCTCGCAGCGCGATGTTTACTCATTACTTCATGTACTTGGAGTTGGACAGTGTTTAACACAGCATAGCCTACATGTATGTTCTACATGTAAGATCTTAGGGGTAAGCCCCACGAATGAACATAAAAATCCCTTAAAGGTTTTAGAAAGGCAGCCTCGCAACTGCTCGGAACGGACGCCACTTGTTTTCCCTAGACTATTCACGTGGAGATGCCGCATCGCGTGCTGCCAACTAATATGTACATGTATACCTGACAGAGGAATTAGAATGCAACATTAAAAACTGTTGAAAATGTTTCTTGTACTTTTTGGATTTTCCTGCAGATATACCCCACATATTTGCAATGCACGTTTGTAATGACACACATTATAAGGCCAAACATGTAAAAGAATTTTAAACATGTTAAAGAGATATTGAGCCATTTCATGAAATATAGTGAGTGTTGATCCTTGACATATCTCAGACTGATTTTTATCAACACCATTAAACCCTACTAAATTCTACACTTTGAATATCAACTGGACTTTTGGTTAAGCAATGAATGCTGTGACAGAATCAAATCATGGCAAACCAGATTTTAAGTTTGTGAATCTGGCTGTAAAAAACTTTTGCAAGCTAACGACCATCAGGAGGGCCATTAGTTCAGTGCTGGCTTCATATTTTATGTGTTTCACATTCTTGCAAAAACCCCGGTTGCAAGAATATGATTTTTTTTACGTGAAGAGAGGAAATAAATGAATTTTCACTGCTCGATAAAGGATACTGCGTATTTGCTTACAAAAGATCATTGACTAAGTAATCCATCAGACATCTCGTTTCCATCACAAAAGCTCACTGGCTTTCCAGTATACGACCTTGAACAATAAGCAAAACTAATTTGAGGAAGGAAACATACGTGATGGTTTGTGCACCCGGTGCATAATTCAGGTGGCATCTGTATATGCCTAGGCCTATCTGGAACATTTCCCAGAAAGAGTTCCATGTAAAACAACACTAATTTACCCTTGAAATTTTATAACAGTCATCAGAAAGTGATAACATATCCCAAAAAGTGAAATTTAGTGAGGCAAATTCCAAAGCATTTACTTCGAAAAAACTTTGGCTATAGTAGAGTCCCTTAACATGGCACACTTCGACTTCCACTTAACTTTTCCCTCACAGCATTTGCCAAACTTTTTCACTGAAAAACTCAAAACCCATCTGGTTAAATACTATGTACTATAACCCTTGTGATACAGGGAGGTGGACATTTGTGAACAATTTCAGTGTTCTGAAATTGTATCCGAAATCCCAAAATGTTTGAGTCCGGAAATTGGGCTCGAATTCAATTGAGTGTTCCCGAATGTGGCACACTTAAAAAAAATTTAAGAAAATCGGACTAACATGTAAACATTTTCCAAGTTCTTTACGGTTGATAAATTCTTGTAAAGGATCGTTCCTTCTGCTCACCTACCCATCCATAAGCGTGTCAGAAAATTATTTTCATATTTTTGAACACATTCTAAAAGTGTTTGTTTTGCACCTCAGAAAAAATTTGGAAAACCGGGTGAAAATAAAATTTCATCATGACCTTTTTAGCAGATACACAAAATTGAGATTTGTGAATCAGACTTGGTTTTTTTCAGACAAGTCTCATACATGTAGGTTTGTGCACAGCCAGTGTTGTAACGAGTCACTAAATTTGGTGACTTGAGTCAAGTCATTTTAACATTGTAACCTGAGTTGAGTCATTACATGTACATGTAGGTCAGTCGGGTAAGTCGAGTTCAGTCACTGTGTAGTTGAGTTGAGTCAAGTACTGAAGCTCAAATCAATTTGAATCACATTTTCAAACAAAATAAGACATAACTACTTGTAAGTCATTTTTGGGGTATTTTTGTTTACGTTTAGACATACTGAAAATAGACCAGGGTGACGGGTACATGTATCTAGCCAACTAAAATTTTCCATTTAATTTTGTTGAGACTTGAGTCTTGTACTCAAGTCGAGTCTCCATGAGAGATTTGAGTCGAGTGGAGTCATTTGGTTGCAGAGACTCAAGTCGAGCCATTTACCCCTCAGGACTAGAGTCGAGTCGAGTTGCCCAAAATTGACTTGAGTCAGACTCAAGTTGAGTCATTACAAGTTTGGGGCATCGAGTGTTGTCTATATATAACTCTCTCCCGTTTTCCAACTGCTGTTGTTACAACAGCTGCTCAGTCATTGTCTTAAGCTGGGCTTTCTTAACATTTAACTTTTTTTTAAAGTTATGGGCAATAGCCTGGCTTAATTAATGTCATTCAAGTATACACTGTACAGGTATAGGACTCAGTGAATGACCTCTTAACATTTGGACATGTATTGCCGACCATATCTACATCTTAAAAGAGGTGACTCGTAGCATCCTAGTTGCTTAGACCACTTGACATGATAAGTAGGCCAAATGTTGAAAGACAACTGCTGTTGTTACAACAGCTGCTCAGTCATTGTCTTAAGCTGGGCTTTCTTAACATTTAACTTTTTTTAAAGTTATGGGCAATAGCCTGGCTTAATTAATGTCATTCAAGTATACACTGTACAGGTATAGGACTCAGTGAATGACCTCTTAACATTTGGACATGTATTGCCGACCATATCTACATCTTTAAAAAGGTGACTTGTAGCATCCTAGTTGCTTAGACCACTTGACGTGATAAGTAGGCCAAATGTTGAAAGACCCTGAGAATAATGGGCTGAAAGCAGACCTGTAGTGAATTGTTATTGTGAGCATGATTTTAATGTGATATATTGAATTGATAGACTTTGTCTAAAATTAAAGCTTGAAATCCTTGGTTAAATTTGGGGTTATTTGGCTTTTATTCATTAATTGTTGATACATGTATTACTTTCCTAATGGATTATAAATTACACTGCCTCTGTGTATTCATTTCATTGTAGCTTTCTATGAATTGGTCAGCATTCAAACGTTGTCTGGTGCCAGCATACCCGGTTGTACTGATGTTGAGTCCTTTGCTCTATACAACAATCAGTACATTGTTGCAACCAATATCAGCTCGAGAGAACAAACAGTGCTATATAAATACAATGTAAGTACATGAAAAATGAAAACTTGTGGCAGGTGATCTGTGAGCAGTGAACAAATGTGATTTAGTGTATTACATTTAATGTATAATCGACAAGAGAGATACATGTACAATTACATTATTGTTCCAGTTCAGTTCTTGGTATCGTGAGATTATTTTAATATATACATGTACATGTATACATTTGTGCTAAAACTATCTCACAGACAGGGTTCAACCATTTATAATCACAATTTCAAAAGAAATGTAATTTCCATTTTTTTTGTTCATTGTCATGTTCATGGAGGTAGGCTGTGTACAAGTAAGAGACTGTACAGTGGATGCTACAAGACAATACCGGCCTTGTATTCAAGTGCCGAAAAATGTATAAAACGTAATTATGGCAGGTGTACTCGCTTTTCCACAGACATTCTCCAAATAGTGTTAGGGAAGGAGGTCCTTCATACTCTTCATCAGGTCTTCACCTGCCCTGTTTGGGAACCATCATTTTGGTTTTAAACCAAACTCCGAAGATTTTTTTATACGAGAATGAAGCGAAGGGATTCCAATAAGCCTTTTGCGAGTTGAATTTGAAAAAAAATCTGGTCCACTGAGTTCTTTAAGTTTACATGTATGTGAAAGTCACTGTTGCTACACCTCTTGATTTGGGGCAAGCTTTCCTTGTGTACTTAAAAGACGCCATGCCTCAATACACTGTTTTCAATGGATAAGGAGGGCACAGAGGAGCCAGTCCTTCCAGAGATGGTCGCTATGCAAAAGCTAGCTCCGTATCAAAAGGCTTATTTGAAGCCTTATGCAAGCAAGCACATTTGTATGACTGTTGAGTGAATACATAAAAACTGGTGCCAGATATTTCTTTTGATCGAGGCAACATGAAAAGGGTTTGGTAAACAGGTTGTTCCATGAAGCGGTCCATATTGTTGAATTGCATGCTTTCACTGCCTTAGTTTTTGAACTCTCTCACTCACTGTAGAAAGTCACTACTTTTCTGACTTTTGTCTGACATTCTGCGCAAGAGTTTTTACCTTATTACCATTTTCACTCAGTGGCTTTGTATTAAAACTTTCAACACTCAGAATGGTACATCAACTGTGCTTGAAGTCGTGGAGACGGCTGATGTTAAGGATGTGGCAGTTCTTCAAATGGAGGATCGAACCATGTTGGTTGTCATGGAAAGTAACTCTGGTAAAAGATTCCCATTTTGATTCTTCTGTTCATTGTTTATAGTTAATGTCGCATCCAGCGTCTAAGATAAGCAGTGAAACAGCTCCACCACCTTTGTAGCTGAGTTACGATCAGAAACGTTTTTTGTGTCTTTTCATAGATACCGCAGGCCTGCCAACAGGCACGGTGATTTATGAGTTCAAAAATGCAACCCAACGCTTTCACTTCATCCAAAGAGTTTTCACCAACGATCCCAAGCAGGTTGAGGGCTTCTCACTGAATGGTGTGGAGTATCTGATTTTGGCTGGTGCCTTCGTGGAGAATGTTGGTGCAGGAATACAACGTAGAGTATCTGCTATACATAGATGGGAAGGTGCGTTCAGGACCTGTGTGTCACAGTTTGTTCTTCGACTTTTGAGCTGGATTAGTTGGCAGGGAACTGTATCTGACTCATTTATCAATCAATATTTTCGCACTGTTACATCTCTGGAGTACCAAACTGTAAACAATATTCCTCCAACAAGTAACAAAGGCATTTTGGTAAGATCCTTACAAAATGTGGATTTAGTATCGAAATGGATGGCTTATATGTTAAGAATTGGCAACCAAAGTCTACTTTGTTTTAATCAATGTTTGAAGGGGTTTCGGCCTCTGCAGGTGACTTACATTTTTAAAAGGTCCAGCTCTTCAGCTAAGTTTCACTTGGATCGAAAAATATAAAAAATAACCCCAATGATCCTGAATCATTGTGACTTGACGTACACCCTAGGGTAAGGGGAGTCTGTATAAGATTTGATTAGTGTTAAAGAACCCAGCAATGAGTGGTCAGTTGGTCAAGATGGCTATACTAGTGAGCAAGAGGATGTGGGTTCATCAAATCCTACCTGAATACACCGGAGAAGATTTACCAACCAAAGAGATCCAACTTTGTATAACGCTTCATCTGCATCACAAACTTCTCACTTTGTTGTCCTTGATGTTTCACAGGAGGTCATTTTGACCAGATTGCAACATTTATCACCGGTGATGCGGTTGATGTTCACCCCTTCCAGATTCACAGCCAAGTTTTCCTGGCTGTGGCCAATAGCACTGACTCTCACATCCTCATATTCAATCCAAACTTGGAGGCCTTTGTGAGATATCAGGTATCGATTGAGAAATTCCTTCATTTTGTTATTCAGTTGTTGTATACAAATTACCTGTCAAAGAAATAAAAAGTGTTCCAAGTCAAATGTCATTTGACTCAATTAAATTACACGGCCCTGGTGTAACAAGGCTAGCACAATCTTGGACCTGAAATGTATACAAGGCCCTCATGTGCATGTGTGATCTTTGCTGTTTATTTGTTCTTCTTGTGTCTGTTTGTTTGAGACTTTCCTTCACTTTACAAAGACACATCTTGCAAACTAACTTTGTTTAGTTTCTTCCCATCCGGCCCTTTGTGCATTAGGATATTGACATCACTCATGCTGTTGACTGGGAGCATTTCAAACTTGGTGATGGCATAGAACAGGACTATTTCTTGGCTGTAGCTACCCGTAAAGGTCAGCAGTTTCATTTCAAACTTGTCAAGTAATTACAACTCTAAATACGTGTAAGAACATTTGTGGAAAAGGCAGAGATTTAGTTCATTTTCCTTTACTGCAGGAATGTGAGATTTACTTTGCCTCACAAAGCTCTCGGAGAAAGCCCAACAATTATCCCATTTTACACAAAAAGCTACAAGAAAGCAGAAATTGAAACAGACATTTTATGATTTTTGCATTCACAGATGGTCCAAGCAAGTCTATCATCTACAAATATCATCGAAATGAGTTTGTTCCTTTCCAAAGTATCCTAGCTACTGGAGCAAGAGTGTGGCATGCCGTCAAAAATCCTGATGGTACCCTAAGAGCCCTTGCATTGTCCAGCGATGATGGTATCAATTTCTATCAGTACAACGGCTGGCGGTTTGAACTGTCTACCATCAAGATTCCCCAGCCTGGCGGCTCAGTAGACATGGGGGTTCAGAGCATGACTTCCTTCATTGAGAGTGGTCGGGTGGTTCTCGTGGTGGCAGACAATTCAACTTTAGTGGCCAACGTGTTCGAGTTGAAGTTCCGCACCAATCACGCCGTTCAGCAGTTGCACAGAGATGCATCATTATCATGTATACACCTGAGATCAAAAGTGGCAAGGTTGGTGGTGGCTGCGGAATGTTGAGATCATGGGATGACTGTACAGGTCTCCTTGTTAAATTCAATTCCTCAAGACCTCAGAGGGTCTTCACACTTGTTCAAGAGGAGTTTGTCCAAAGATAAATGTAGAATTACCTGTACTTTGCACTAAATATTTATTTTGAAAATAGCTCTGTAACTCTGTATTCACACAGCCCTAACAAGCCATTTGCGAGTTAAATTTGAATAAAATCTGGTGCACTGAGTTATCTGACTGCACATAAACATAACGATTTGAATTCCCCAGACTAAAGACACTTGCTATACCTCGCGATTCGGGGCTAGCTTTTGCATAGCGACCACCATCTCTGGAATGGACTGGTTCCTTTGTGCCCTTCTTATCCATTGAGTGTATTGTTGCGAGGCGTCTCTTATGTAACCAAGCAAAAACTTGCCCTGAATCACGAGGTGTAACAACAGTGGTTTTAGTAAGGAGAATTCAAATTGTTATGTTCACGTGAATTTAAAGAACTCAGTGTACCAGATTTGGGTCAAAGTTAATTCGCAAAAGGCTTATTAACGCACTGCACCCTCAACGTTTTCACTGAGTATGTATTCCAAAAGAATTTCAAGAAGGTTCTGTCAAAAGTCTTCAGACTTTCAACTTACTTGATTGTACCCCAGACTTGTACATTAAGAGCCCAAACATGGCTCTGCATATATCATATCAGATTGTTCACAATTACACACACTGATGTAGGCCTTGGAAATATTTCAGAAGTAGGACGGTGACCATCACAATAGCAGTTACTGAGATGATAAGGCAGTTAGTTGGCCTAAATTGAATATGTGTCATTATATAACTGCCTTACAGATCCTTGTTATTTGATTGGTGGAACATGCATCACATGACATTCATTATTCCTGCCATTCATGCTACATCAGGTACTATTCGCCCATGTGTGGATGGTGAAAATATGCAACGGTTTGGATCATCCCTTTTTCCATGATGTATGAATGGCCTCGTCCCTCAAAAGGCAGCGCCAGCGTGACACACAGCCCGAGCACAACATGCAGCGCTGATTGAAACCTGGGAGGAATAAAATTTGGCCTGAAAAATTATTGGGATTTGAAATTGTTTGAAAGTTATTAAAAGATAAATCAAATGACAATGATCTATATGACAGATATATACGACAAATAATGAGTGTTTTTTCACTCATGCAATAGTAAGAATATCTTCATGAGTTGAAAGATGGAATGTTCCTTTTAACAAGGTGAATTTCAACTCAGGAAAATATTCTTACCATTACACTTGTAAACATTCATTATTTGTATAACAAAACACCGTCGCTTCATGATCTGAATTCCATTACTTTGCTTTCAACATCAATGCAGCCTCAAGAGCCGACTGAACAGTACCCAGAATGCTGCAGACAACCTAGTGTATGTCAACTCTTCCAAAATTCAGGTTGTCACCGGCAACAAGACGTTCCTGGATGATGTCAGCATGTATAATGTGAAAGCAACTGAAAGTAAGAACTAAACTGTGTGTCTTAGACTCCACTCAAAAGCCTGATTTCAACATCTCTCTCTAGTGTTGCTGTGCAAAACTTTATGAAAAGTTTGGACACCTCGCTTTATTTGTTTATGAATGGAGGGGCCATGCAACAGGAATATTTTAGCAATGTTTAAAATACCTCCCTTCATCTCTGATGATGGATTGGACACATCAAAAAAATTGGGGTGGGGCCTAATTTCTTATTAGGGTGAGAAAAATAGATAGAGCAAAATCCCAAATTAAGTTGTGTGTTTTGAAGTAAATGAACTCTTTGGATTTTTTTACTTTCCCATAGTTCATGCTGATAATGGTATGATCCTCGATGCGAAGGAAAAGGTACAATTTGCTGAGGTGAGGTCAAATCAGACACAGAGCTTCACTGACCTGAACACCATAGAACAGCGGCTGCATGGAGCTATGAATAAAACAGGCCCCCAACAAACAGTGACAGGTAGGTTGGCTCTTGACAAAGGAATCCAGAAAACTTACGACATACTGAAAACAGGAAACTTGCCGCGGAATTGAGATGTGAAAATCGTGAGAGTTTTTATCAATTTGGTAAAAAGTTTTGCCAATGTGTACAACTTTTGTGAGAGCAGAATTCAAGAACGTGCATTCAAAGGATTGGATATCTGTGTGCATTGAATGATGGGTGTGTCATTGAATGTGTAATTGAGTTTGTTTCTGCGTTCAATTGGGGACCCTGAACAATAGCGGACAATAAGGTCCCCGATGGACAGAGGGTCCCCGATTGACAACCGTGTACAAAACATATGGGTGGTCTTCTAAAAAAGTTAAAGTACAAATAAAAGAGGAACAATAGGGGGTCCCCAGTTGCAGGCAAATACACACTTGTGTGCTTTGTTGCCTTGAATCTCATTAAAGGTTGCTGAATTCTTGTACATAAATGTAGCAGAGCATTCAGAGGTATTCAGAGTTTCTCGTCTTATATCCAGGACAGAAAAACTTTACCCAGATGATGACCCCAGCTCTTGATGTCAACACCGTCAATGTAGGAAGCGACATCATCAACAAAAATGTGAATTTGACGGAGTTGGTCACTAACACATGGCACAAGGATACTGACCAGGTGAATACGAGACAAAACATGTGATGGTTCAATCCTTTCCACGTAATCAGTGATCATGGGGTGTGGTCACAGGCCTTCATTTACAACAGCCACACCCCTCTATTCATGAATACATCAGATCATTATAAGAGCAAAAAATAGATCGTCACAACATATGTTCCCAGTCCTTTCCACCTGACCTACATGTGGCCAACAGAGTGAAACTGTGTAGCAGAGAGGGCATGGCTGACCTAGGTGGCTTATCGTCTCACTACTATAGGTCACTAGTAAAGGCAATTATGGTATCATCTGAATCAAATAAGTCACATCCCTGAGAAGAAGCTGCAGCGACTAGCCAGTGGTTCCCCTAGCTGTCCATTTCATTTCCAGTTCAAGCCATCATTGTCAGACACAGTCTCAGTAGACCATTGAAAAGTACTTTTGGAAGTAGTCTGGACAGCCTGTTGTTTGCCTACAGCATGGCTGTGTTTGATATTTACATTAAACAAGCCCCAATATGATTTTACATACATCTTGGTAAGGGTTAACAAATGTGGCAGGCTCCCTTCACTTACAGCATGGTGTTTACAGTGTTTTCATTCAGTAAAATGATCAGTCTTGTGTTACATTTTCAGATGATTGACGTTGCAGTTAGCATCTCGGGAAATGTGACAGTTCAAGGAAGTCTGACTGTATCGGGTTTGCTAGATGGGGTGGATACATCGATCATTGTTACGCTGTCCCGCGATCACACTATAGAGGGCAGCAAAACATTTGACACATCTGTGCAAGTGAAAGGTTTGTGCATTTATGTTCGGGTTGTGGAAGCTTTGAATTGTCGTGACTCTCGACAGTGAGCAGTTCTAAAAGCAAGAATGTGATCCCCATGTGATAAAGAAGGAATCTAATGTCTGCTGAAAGTTGCATTGTGTGGGCTTTTAATCATAAACCTTTTATAGGGTTTTTTTTTCAGAATGAGCCAGAAAGTGTCTTGGAAGACCTTTGCATGTTTCTTAGTACATAAAATGAGAATTTGAAGATAAGGTCTTAAAATGATTGTCATCTCAATTTTTAGTTTCAAATAGAAAATATCCCACAAACAACAAAGTTTTAAGGCCTTAAAAAAGAATGATACCTCATGTACATGTGAAGTCTGTTTTATTAAAAAGTCGTGCTTCCCTTACCTAGGAAATCTGGATGTATCACAAAATATCGATGGGGTCAGGGTGTCTGAGAGCAACCTTCTTCTCACATACGGCAACCAGACTATTCAATATCACTTGAATGTGAGTGGAGTTGTAACTTTCCTCAACAATGTGGAAGTGGATGGACTCGTTGATGGCTGTGATTTATCAACAATCAACCGAGACGCTGTCTTGACATCAGGCAACATAACTGTTACAGGTTTGTGGGGCCCCAGAAATTGTTCATCTCCCTCCCTCCAGTTGTACACTCCAGATGTCTTCAGTGGTGACTATCCTGCTCCTCTCGTAACTCAGTTTCAGCTAAAGACTACTCGAGTAACAAAGTTACTCATGTGCTTGAGCATAGCTTGTAGTTAGTACTCAACTGTCCTATTCCTCCACTACCTTGACGTTTCTCTGTTCACTCTACTCATTTTGTTCGTCTTTTCATTCCCATCACAACTGGATTCGCATCCTATTAACTCCTAGTCCGTCAGGTTTACTCACAGCAGCATCTATGACACCACGTCCAGCGTAGACTGAACCGTTGGAATGGTCAGTCACCAGTTGATGAACTGCACTGCACATCCATGTGTCATAACCTTTCGTCAAGTTGTTGAAATTGTGTGCGGGGGTCCCAATCAGATTTTAAGTCTGGTGTGATGTTTGATGTGCATTTATGTTCTGAAGGTCATGATCTAAAAATGTGGGTATGATTTTTTTTTTTTCGACTGGCAGGAAACAAGAATTTCACCGGTGACCTGACTCCAGAGAAGGGCATAACAATGGGCGCAGGACATACCATAGATGGAGTTGATATCCTGCAACTTGATAGAACAGTGCTTAAGACAACGGGATACCAGCAACTAACAGGTACGAAGGCATCATGTTGGTCATTTTGTGTAGCTCCTGGATACTCGTGGCATGAACAAGTCGGAAATCTTTATATGTAAAGCACATTATTTCAGTATCATGTGCCCGGTTAGGTTTTAAGGGTATTTTCTTTAGATAACTTGAGGACCTTTGGCAGGAAGTGCACAGTGCACGCAGTTGCTGAAATAACATAATAGAAACAGACGCTCAAAGGCAATCATTTAAGATGTTGCTGTGTGTGCACTTTCTCGAAGTTGATGTTTGACAGGTGATTAAACAAATGGTATATTGTTATTGTCAAGCAGAATACATGTAGTTGGTTTTGTCGTTTGTAAGAACAATCCGCATTGCTGTACAAGAAGTTTCTTGCTGTAAAGCATCATACCTGTGATTATTTGCATTTTCATTTCTCCTGCCATCTTTTCTGTCAACAGGAAATTACAATTTCAGCCAAAGTGTTGATATTTACGGCAATCTCAGCGTGGATGGACTGGTGGATGGGCTGAGTATTCCTGGTGACATCTTGGTGGAAAATTCAGCGAGACAGGCTGTTTTGGCAGAGAATTGGGGAGTTGAGGACATCACTGCAGAAAACATCACTGTGGAGACAAGCATTGATGGTATCCTAGCAACAGGTAAAACTTTCTCACAAGCATTGATGGTATCCTAGCAACAGGTAAAACTTCCTCACAAGCATTGATGGTATCCTAGCAACAGGTAAAAACTTCCTCACAAGCATTGATGGTATCCTAGCAACAGGTAAAAACTTCCTCACAAGCATTGATGGTATCCTAGCAACAGGTAAAAACTTCCTCACAAGCATTGATGGTATCCTAGCAACAGGTAAAACTTCCTCACAAGCATTGATGGTATCCTAGCAACAGGTAAAACTTCCTCATACACCACAGAGCAGTGTTTCTTTCAGTCCGTTCTGGTAAATTCAGTTTGGTTTCCACTTGGATTTGCGTGTTAAACAACAATTACAGTTATCGGCTGTCGGAAACGTGCCTTCAAGAGACATTATAATTTCATTAGCTTGCCAGTAAGATCATAATTTCTCATGGTTAACACCCTTCCCCATTGTGAAGCTCATCTGTGCCAGCAAGTTGTTCATTTCAATCAGATTTACCGTCAAACCTTTGTAGTTTGCTCACATACAAATACCAAGTTGGGTTTCCCAGCAAACTGAATCAAAGGTTGGTTAAATTTGAAATTTTACCTAGGTCAGAAAGATGTAATTAATAAACAAATCTTGAAGATGGACAATTGCAGTCAGATTGAATTTCCTTGGTGGAATCCCAACTCAAGCATTGTAGCCAGCAATGCAGAGGATGAAGTCACCATGCTCCCCGATTGGATAACACAGTGTGACCTCATCAGAGCTTCCAATTCATTGTAGCTAAGTGTGGACTTCCAGTTTGAGTTGACTTTTCCCCCTGTGTTCTGTTTGACAGGAGGAGGCACGGGGCTGGAGGTCATGCTGGTGAATGGTGGAAGTCAGACCCTTGAGGGCGCTATTTCATTTGCCGTTGGCATGCGACTTGAGGGTTCATCTCAGGTCACTGGTCTCGTTGATGGTGTGGACATTCCATCCATGACTGCAGAGGCTGTGTATAAGAATGGTGATCAGGAGATTACAGGTATTTCATCCTATGTGTGTGAATTGAGAAATTGAGCAGGAATCTATCCCAATGTACACCAGGACTTTGCAGCATTATCATGTTGAGCCGAGTTGCTCCCTACAGGACTTGCTGTTCACATTTTGTTGAGAAAACTGTAGACCCGTTTGGAACGTTGGAAAAAATGCACGGCGCTTGAACCCTTTAATTTGCTATAGGACCTGTAGTAGAGCATGTGACTTATGTACAGAAAACCTCATACCAACTGCACACCAAGTGAATAGCTTGTGATCAGAAATTGTCATCGGGGAGGACTTGCAGAATAATTCACACGCGTCATAGTCAAGTCAGGTGTGACACCAGTGTGCACCAGCTGGCCAACATATTAGGTGAAAATCAGTGTGAAGCATCTACATCTTATGTCAGTGTTTCATGTTTGTAAAATGTAATTACTCGTAGTTATTTATTGTTTGTATGTGCATCTGGGAGATGCTAGCTAATTTTATAATGGGTCTTTGCCAAAATGTCTATTTAGTTATTCATATCTGTTCATCCAACAGTGCATTTTAGCGCCAATGACAGGATGAAATGACAGTTCAGATGACAATGAAGAAATGTTCAGTTTTAGAGGTGGGAGGAAAACCCGGCATAAATATTCCAAGGGAAAAACCACGGACTCAGGGAGGGACTGAAAACCTAATCTACATGTTGACCTTGTTGAGATTCGAACCCGGGTTGCAGAGGTGGAGTGTGCATGAGGAAAGGACCACTACACCAACCTGACTCTCTTACACTGTTCATGTAGCTCTCTTTGCAAGGAATAGATGGTCTAACTTTTCCACATTTTCCATATTTTAAGGAGAGAAGACTTTTGCCTCGGATGTGACTTTCCAATTCAATCTCCTGGTGGAACTTTTGATTAATGGCATCAACGTTACTCAGTATGAGTCCAGTGCAGTAAAACTCTTTGGAGAAGATGATGTCATTGTCTTCAATGGAGATGTTGAACTCACAGCTTCAGAAACCAAGGTAATGTAGCTTTGTGTTTGCGGTTGTTCTGGCAACTTGTAAGAAACTAGAATTACTTACAATTGTTGTTCATTTGTAAAATGTTTTCAAGTTATTTCAGTAAAATTCTAATTTGTCAAAAACCACATAGGGACAGTAGGTTCATTTAAAATTTGCACCAGTGGAAACAGGCACGTTTCTCTTACCATCCTAGCAATTTGTGTTGTTTCATCCAAGCATGTGTTATTTTTTATCTTCTTTGATGAGCGTCATCAGTTCATCCAATTTTCCTTCTAAACCATTTATCCACTCTCTATTTTCGATTTCCTCGCTAGATGGCAGGCCCACTGATAACTGCTGGCAATCATTCATTTCCTTACAAACGAAGTCTCCAAGATCTCATCATCCAAGGCAGAGAGGACACCATCTATGGCTTCAAATCTTTCCCTGATGTTTCATCCTTGAAGGATGTAGAAGCAACACTAGTCAATGGCATTAACATCTCACGTTTCTTCCAAGAATCTGTACGAGTCATTCCGGGCATTGTTCTCGTAATTGACGACAACGTCACCTTCTGGTACAGTGTCAATATGAACGGCAACCTGAGCATTCAGTCGCAAATCATTGACGGTAAGCTGTGTCCGTTGTCTTGGTTTGTTTTGTGCATAATACTTTGCCAAGCTGCAGCAATGTGTGAGCTTTCATTTTTAATCTGTGATTTTCTCCTAGGGAGGAAGCCACATCATATGTGTTGACACAATTTATAGTTTGAAGGATCACTCATCTTGAAATATTTTCCCCAGAGTGTCATTAACCACTTAACACCGGGTAAAAAATTCCCTTGAATCACAAGCTGCCAGGCGGTGCTTTATGATTTTGATTTTGACATTCGTATTCACCATACTTTTATTCAAAAAAATGCTATTTTGATGTTTATTACAGTGTTACATAACGGCTTCTTTGTTGGCCCTCGGCCCTGCCAGGAACGACAAACAATGGGCAGGCTGGGCGACACGTTCGTCGGCCAGGCTGGCCTAGAGCGCTGCGGTGCTTCATGACATTTTACTTCACAGTAGGAGGATTACAGCCTATGGTGACTCATAGCAGTCATTCCTGTCCCCAAATAAGGCCGCCTAGCTGTGTGGATCAGAAGAATGTGCCCCATGTGGGTCACCCGGCACTAAGTGGTTAACCTCCTTAGGTCTACACCAACATCAAACTGACATCTACAAGAAAAGCTGTGTTATAAATTGGACCATTTATTAATACGTAATTCTTGCACAATGTTTTGACGTTGAATACACATAGCAACTCATTAAACAACCATCTAATTTTCTGTAGCTATTTTGCCCCCTTTGAATTCCCAGGTACGTACATTCCAGACATCGTCACGATTGCGGGTAATTCTAGTGTAGCATCAATGACAACGTTTACTGGTGATATTACTGCAAGGAACCTGTGGGTAGATACTCTAACATTGTCAGGTCTGCTCAATGGATACGATGTACAAGCAGTAAACAACGACACCCTCAAGAAAAACACAGCCGGTAAGAGACAAAGTCATCAGAAGTATAATCCTTTACACCCTAGTATGCTCTTGGATGTGAAGTTCCTAGTACAGCACTGATAGGTAGACACCAAGGAGTAGAGCTGTACTGCCATATAATGCCTTGTAGCTTACGTTGGTCACTGTCTCGCTGGGTCCTGTGGTGGTCTCGTGGTCTTCACTAGAACAATGCTTGTGAAGATGGCAGTGCAACATGCAGTTTGATAGGCTACACTATCAGCAGGGAGTTCAATGGGTAATACTGAGAAAGTAGGTAGCAAATCTGTCTTTGAGTTGCATGGTGTGCAGCTCACCGGTAAAGACCAGACAGGCTGTTGGGGAGTTTTCAACCGGGTTCATTCAAGTGCCCAGAACATACACAAAGAATACATTTAAGCAGAAACTGATCATGTGTGCTCGGTGCATCCTTTGTCACATGCACATGAACCTCCGTATGCATGCAGTGAGACCCAAAAACAGGCCATTGCTACTAATTGAATTCAAGGGAATTACAGTGCATACAGGCTGTGAATCTGGAGGTGTAAGTTGCTGGCTATGGAGCACATGCCAATTGAAGTTGGTGTCTACTTGGATGCTGACTTGATGATGAAGACTTACGTTTCTCATTCCCTCACATAAAATTGAAGTTGGAATTTGCTTCTTTTGATAAGGAGATTTTTATTTACGGTGCACCTGGAATCGACTGATATTTATGGGTCCCTGCAAACAGTATGCAGCAACTTGGCACTTAACCCTAACCACCTGGGGTGTGTGTAAAATCATATTGAAATCATGAGGATTGAGGACTGGTCAGGCTAAGGTTTAAAGTTATCTCATATTAGAGGCAAATAATGCATGATGGCAGATCATATATTGTCAGTTCCACATTACATTCATTTTTCTCTATCACACTTAGGAACCCAGGTAGTCACAGGCCAGAAGACTTTCCTGAATGGACTCACCATCAATGGTGACCTTGTTGTCAACAACAACACTGTTGGTGTTGACCTTTCAGCTGTTGCCAATGATTCGGTGTACACCAATGACGCATACACTGTCATTACCGCAGCCAAAACCTTTGGATTTGCAAATATAACACATCTTAATGCCACAGGTGAGAAAACAGTAACGGAGAAATCAGTTACATTTTAAGAAGCCATTTTGTTAGAGAATTGAAATACTGCACATGATATTAAGTCCCTCATGAAGAGGTATGGGCAAATTAATAAAAAATTGGGGGGGGGATAGGCTCCTCCCACTGTTGCAGACCGACGGACACATTCATGTGACTAATAATGTATTACATTGTTACTGATGTAAAAATAATACATGTAATTGCTACCAGATCTTAACTTTTTATAGTTTTTATTTTATTTCTCTTTTTTGTTGTTGTTTTGGTTATTGCTTTTTTTGTCAGATCCCCAGTGGATCCTGGGTATATTCATCTGTGTGTTTCTATCAAATTCAAAGGTTTATCTAGTTAAGCAGTAATGTAAAGTACATTGCACATGCAAAGACAAAGGTTAATTGCACGTTTCTTTTCTTCTTTGAACTCTTAACCATGATTAACTACGTAACTCAGTTCATTGTTAGTGCATTCACTTCCTTCTAAATTTGATGGAAAGTTGTCAAATACAGCAAGCTTTGGATAATGGCTAAGTTTTACTTTGCTGACTCAACTCTGTCCCGATCTGTCAGATCACATTGATGGAGTCCATCTGCCGTCATTCAGCCAGCGAGTCGTAATCCAGACAATCCCTCAGACGATACAAGGCACTGTTACTTTTAATCAAGATGTAGACTTTGCTAATGACATCATAGTTGCACAAACTGTCAACGGTCACTCTGTGACTTCCAGGCTATTGGGCGTTCTTAACATCCTCAACAGTTCCTATGAAGGTAAGAGAAAACATCCACTTTGCGAGTATCTAGGACATAAAAATACTTGTACATTTCGGAATATACTTCTGTTTTCACTAATTTTTTTTTTTGAGAATGACAAGTCTGCCCCATGTTTAGATGCAAGAAGTATCTGTAACCATAAAACCTAGGCCTCTCTAGAGTATTGGAAGGCTCTCTTGAGCATGGGAAGGCTCTCTAGAGCAT